TGTTGATATGAACAACACTTTTGGGGCATTTATTTAGCTAATAATACATAATAATACATTGGAATCCAAATAAAGCCCTAAATTCCTATTCCAGCATATCCTGGGTTTTCCTCCCAGACATGCTAACAGGTGTGTTTGCAGTGACAGCGGCGCCGCACTGATATGGATTAGAGCGGATAACAGGCTGCAGCAGCCGGCACACTGCGACCTGACGGCTGTCCGCCTCACTCAGGTCTGTGTGTCTCTAAACACCCGTGCCTATACCTCACTCTTGTTTTCTGTCCTGCGCTAATTCCCCACTCTTTATCTGTCTGTGTCCCTCCTTATCTTTTGGCATCAATCCATTTAGCTCGCCACTTGATTGTGTGTGTTAAAAGACGGGGTGAATATTACATTCTAAATGAGGAGAAAAGCTGGGGGTAGTCTGCAGTAACTAATGGCACCCCTCGTGGAGCGCTGCCAAATAAAATCAAATTGCAGTCCTTTGACTGTGATGCATCGTGCCAAAGAGGTATGGAGGATGGAAGGGCACAAAAGCATAAACGCCAGTGTAACGGAGAGAAAGAGAGGGAGCAGAGAGGAGAAACAAAGCAGTTTCAGGTGGAGGAGACGTAAAAGGATTAACTGTGTAATCTAATCACAGCAGATAAAAGATAAGAAAACACTACATCAAATTTCTGAAGAGGACCTGGAAGTGACAGGCAGCAAGGCAAAGGAAATCTCCGTTGTCAATCTACAAGAGATAGCGGCCACTGGACGACAGGAAGAGACCTACACGTTTATATCCGCTCAAAGCAAATGGACTGCTATACTATCACTTCTATCATAGTTTTGGGTCTTAACTGTTACAGCTGGAAAGTTGGAACGTTTCAAAGAGAATTCATTGTGAAATGGACAGAAAGTATGAAATTTAAATGAGTAAACTAGTTTATTATTATATTACCAATATTTAGGACTATATTTTTCACATACACTACCATTCAAAAGGGTCATTTTTTATGTTTTTTAAAGTCTCTTATGCTCACCAGGGCTGCATTTATTTGATCAAAAATACAATAAAAACAGTAATATTGTGAAATTCCAAAATTCCAATATTACAATTCAAAATAGCTTTTTTCTATTTTAACATATTTTTAAATGTAATTTATTCCTGTGATGGCAATGTTGAATTTTTAGCAGGCATTACTCCAGTCTTCAATGTCACATGATCCTTCAGAAATCAATCTAATATACTGATTTGGTGCTCAAAATACTGCTGCTTTTTTGTTTTGGAAACTAAAGGATTCTCTGATGAATAGAAAGGTCGAAAGAACAGCATTTATTTGAAACATAATTATTTTGTAATATTATAAATGTCTTCATTAATTTAATGCCTCTTTTCAAAAAAATAAAATAAAATAAATAAATAAAAATCTTACTGACCCCAAACTTTAGATCGGTAGAGTACATTGTTTATGTGCTCTTTCAGCCACCAACACAGAGAAAATCCAACAAAAACTTTACAATAATAGGCCCATTTGTCTCAATATGCTCCAAATCATGTTTAACCTTGAATCCCTCTTTGTCCAAAATCCCAGTGTACTTCAAAGTACACTCTAATAAACAAAAAGACAATCTGACAACTGAAGACTATAAACATTCACATACAAAATTCACTCCATGCCTGTCATGATGCCAAAAAAAAATTAAATAATAAAATAAAATAAATAAATAAAAATCTTACTGACCCCAAACTTTAGATCGGTAGAGTACATTGTTTATGTGCTCTTTCAGCCACCAACACAGAGAAAATCCAACAAAAACTTTACAATAATAGGCCTATTTGTCTCAATATGCTCCAAATCATGTTTAACCTTGAATCCCTCTTTGTTCAAAATCCCAGTGTACGTCAAAGTACACTCTAATAAACAAAAAGACAATCTGACAACTGAAGACTATAAACATTCACATACAAAATTCACTCCATGCCTGTCATGATGCCAGTTTCAGGTCTCAGTGCAAATGTCAGGTACATATTTGCATTGGTTTGTCTTTTAACCCGGGTCTTAGCTGTGTACCATGATGGAAGCCTACATGAATTTCACTGATCCAAGCTGAAAACCTCTTGAGCCATAATAATTGTCATATTTGCATTTCTATATCTATGTAAATGTATCTGACAGCAGATGTGGGCATTTCACAATCAATTTACTCAAACAAAAGAAATGAAATTGTAAAAAACAGCTACAAAGAAAATGAAGCCAACCATTTTTGCTGTTTTACATGTAGAAGGTTTCACATTCCATACATCTTGTATGCTTCACGGTTTTTTTTCTTAGTTGTGCGTGTTGTGTCTGTGTGCAGACCTGTTTCTTCTGTCAATTTTCTTCAATCTGAGCCTCATCAAAAACATTTTAATATCCAGTGAATCCTGTGTAATAAAAACTTGACCTGTTGTCTTCTACTTTAAAAGGATAATTTGCCCCCAAAATTTTATCTGCTATCATTTATTAACCCTCATATCATTCCAAACTTGTACAAATTTCTTTCTTCTGTGAAAGAAGATTTTTGAAACTGGCAAGTTTTTTTTCCAGTGTTGTTTTGGACCCCATTGACTTCCATTGTATTGACCAAAACACATTTTTGTGTTCTGCAGAACAAAGTAAACTAGTAAGCTGACAACATGAGGGCAAGTAAATTACAGAGTTATTAATACAGAAATATCCTTTTAATATGATGACCATGAAGTCACACTCATCTTAGCCACTTCTTTTAATGTGCTAAATAAGTGTCTTCTGTTAACCACAGTGCATTCAAAGGAGGGAAACTTTTGGTGTACTATTGATGTACAGGTAGCTGTGTAAACAAATCATCTCACTCCTTGCCAAAGGCATCCTTCAGTCCTTTGGGAGATGCATGCAAACAACAGACCTGTTTAGTAGTCTTTACTTTTAAAGTCTAAGCAAACAGATTGGCAGGTGTTAATTTTCTTGGAACAGGTTATTATGTGTGCTATAAAAAGAGAATGGGGAGGAAGGAAGAGATGAATAAGTAATGACGTGAGAAAAATAAAGGTTAGCAAGTATGAAAGTGACAGAAAATTAGTGGAGTTTTCTATGACACATAACACCATTTGAGTGTAAGTGTTGTCCCCTATTGAGAAAACCAGCTTGTGCTGAGCAGTGCTGTACAGCCGTGCTAAATGCTCTGGTGGGAGCTGTCCATGGTCCTAATTGGAATGCAGCTGGGGATTGCAACTCTAAGAGTCAAATCAGGCTGATGGCTACATTCAGACTAAACATTTAGTGTTACTTTGTTCTCTCAGCACAAAATATGTCTAAAAGGCCTTTGTTTGCTAAGGCAGATTTTGAGTCGTTTGTAAAGGTAACCAGTGGAAAAGATGCAATGAGAAGATCTGGAGGGGAGTTGTCCATGGTTCTGAAGTGTCACTGAACTCTACTACCCACAATCTGCTCTGAGCGATTCCTTCAAGTCTCCTTTAAACAGCTGTTACTACTCAGCTGACAAATGTATTGTGCTTAAATAGCACTGGACTATAGCTTGAAAAAAGCACAGCTAAAAAAAGAGAAGATTGTTTCAAAACAAGAGTGCACAAGGGAGCCTGAAATGTCCTCCCTAGCGTAATCTCAAAAGTTATGAAATTTTGTACATTCAAACAACCAAAGGGACTGGCCAAAATTGAATACATGTGGCAAGCTCCCTCCGACACGATGAAAAGATTTCTCTGCATGCTTACAAATTCTCGTCTTCAATAGAGCCTTACACCAAGTTGCATCATGGAAATGCATCAGTTTCGTGACTTTGACCATTTTATGAAGTCATGTGTCATTGACTATCAAAGATTTTGGGGTGAGGAAAATAGGACTGAGCCAAACATCCATGATGATGAGATGTTAGTGATATTGTTTGGGTAAAATATGAAAAATCGTTTCATCTTGAGCACTTAAATGTCTCCAGAGCAGCAACTTCTGAGGCTGAGCAAGAGCACATGATTACCCAAAGCACAGAATAATGAGTTATTTTTTAGTTACATTTTCGCTTACGTGGAACAGAAAATGAGATTTTATAACGACAGTCACGATGTTAAAAGGGAAACTATAAATCCTTTCAGTATATATCATGACACTTGTTTTTAGCTAAATTTGGGCTTAAACCCAATCAGCATTCTGACTACAACTTCCCTTCAAGGTAAATGACGGATGGATAGTTGCTTGGGAATGCCAAAATTTCGCAAAAAGAAACGCAACAAATAGGCAAATGATTCCTAGGATAGCTACTTGGACGATGGAATGGACATATTTTAGACGGAGGAAGAAATACCCTATTATGGTAAAAATAAATGTTGAAAATAGCGCAGAGTCAAAGACCTGTTTTTTTTGGCATGAAACCCCTCTCTCTCTCCAGCCTCCACATACGCCCCCCTTCCTCCCAAACTCACTCATTCACTCTTGGCTCCCACACTCACGAAATCTTGCGCCACACACACATGTATATATTTTCAGAAATGGTTCGTCTACATCTTTATCCATTAACCCATTTTGCCTTAAAACTAAAGTACCACTTCTTGCGCACCCACCAAGAATCCAACATCGTGCTCTGAGGTGTTATTCAAAGCATAATGCAACATATTATGCCAACATGGGGCAGACCAAAATTGGCAAGAAATAACACCAAATGCACTATGGAAAGTACACAAGGCTGTTTTACATTGAAATACATTCACGCACAAATAAATGGCACTCTTGGCTATTGTATGTACAACCTCTTCATGTTATTGACTGGTATGTTTCTCTAGTGAGTCTGCTGCTTATATCCATTGATGCCTGGTAGATCCGAATCAATGAAACGCATGACCCAACATTAAATGCCATAGTGTTGGCACAGAATTGACAATGGCAGCACTCCATCCACATGTCAGGGGTAAAAGGGTCGCATATGTAGCCTCCAAGAGGGTTGCGCGCAAGGCAACAGGACCACATGCAGCATAACGGGAAACTCACCCTTAACCGATGCAGCCAGCAGCCCCATATAGAAGAACAGCACCCCGCTCCAGTGATGCGCCTGTACTCCCACCTTCATTAGCGCAAAAATCCTTATACCATCCAGTTTCCTCGTCCCGTTATATGTACATCTGCACTCTGTCCTCACGAGTCCCGTTCTGTCAGGATTCAAAGAGGCGCTCATGGTGGGCTTTTTTTTTTTTGGCAGGCACGGTTATCAAATGGTTTTAAAAGGAAGATTCACTTGGTGTCGGCGCTGAGAAAAATCCCAGTGCATGAAGACTGGACCCTCGCAGCTGGACTGAACCATCTCAAGCGAGCCGCGGGGTGAGCGGATTCTAATAGACGCGTTCTCTCCTAAAACCTGAAGAGCTGATGATGTGAACTGTATCTGGCGTCTTCAAGCCCACGAGAACGATAAAGTCTGGAAAGCGAATCAAACGGATGATGCGGCATACGCCCGTACACTCCCCCACGCGCGCGTTTAAGTTTATTTTCCAATTAATACAACGCTGAAAATCCACCTTTCTATCTTTCTCCCAATGAGTCACTGGTAAAGGAGCGCTTGGATACACTCGCTGTCACCACCCACTCGTGGAAGTTTACAGCCTTCATCACTGTCTAAATCATTTCCAGGCGTGAAAATAATCGTTAAGGGATTTCCACCTCTGGGCTCACTGTTTCAAGACTTAAGCAAAGAGAGCTGAAATGAAGAGCGCGACTGCAGTACGAGCTTACAGCATCTCTCTCTCTCTCTCTCTCTCTCTCTCGCTCGCTCCATCACTCTCTCACCTTCGCAAAGGTGTGCCAACAACATAAACACTTAAGTCTATGATTGTGTCTATGCAGAATAATACTATAGCCTATATTTAATTTGCTTTTCACTTGATTTGATTGAATGCATAATATAATACAATATAATACAATATAATAACAGACCTATAAAATTGAAAGACAAACTTATTGCTTAATACGCAATGAAAGAAACACAATTTACTGGGCAACAAACATAATGTGAAATATCATGAACATCACCCGGTGTGTAGCCTAGTTAGGACCCATAAAGTGTCTATTTATGTATTTATTTATTTACTTACCGTTTTTACTTTCACCTTCGCAAAGGTGTGCCAACAACATAAACACTTAAGTCTATGATTGTGTCTATGCAGAATAATACTATAGCCTATATTTAATTTGCTTTTCACTTGATTTGATTGAATGCATAATATAATATAATATAATACAACATAATACAATATAATAACAGACCTATAAAATTGAAAGACAAACTTATTGCTTAATACGCAATGAAAGAAACACAATTTACTGGGCAGCAAACATAATGTGAAATATCATGAACATCACCCGGTGTGTAGCCTAGTTAGGACCCATAAAGTGTCTATTTATGTATTTATTTATTTACTTACCGTTTTTACTTTAGTCTTAGGCTACCAACATTTTGGCAATTTTGTAGCATGTCTCTCTCTCTCTCTCTCTCTCTCTCTCTCTCTCTCTCTCTCTCTCTCTCTCTCTCTCTCTCAATATAGCTAAATGTAAAAGTTTATGCAATTTTTAATTTCAGTAAATCAAGTTTAACTAAATTAAAATAAGAAATCTTGTAGCTACAACAAAAAAGTTTTATATTAGATATATTTCAGTCAACGTTTACTTTATTTCAAGAAAGATTTTTTTTCTTCTTCCCGCGAAGACTCTTACAGTACATCCATTCAGGTGACGTAAATGATTTGTAGCTGTTTGCGTAATTGTTTTTGTTTATATTTGAAATTCAATACAATATTCAATCTAAACATTCCAAGGAAGGCAGACGCCAGCCACAAACAAGAAAATCACGATAATAGAAAGCTAAATTATCATTTTTGTCTGGAGATAAATGTAAAATGTCTACAAGACCGTGTGATAAGACATCTAGAACAAAACCTCAGCGTTTTTGGGACGCATTAGGACCATTTCCCAGGTCAGTGTGGATTCATCCCTGTACACCAGAAGACAGTCTGGACAGAGCCTGTGGTAGAGTATTGAAGCGCTCTGTTCTTGCCAGAAAGGGAGTTTGGCCGCATTTACCAGAAAATGCGCATGTGTTTGCGAAAGACGGTGATATCCAGAGCTACAGAGGATATTATGGCAGTCTATCCACTCAGTAAGTTACGAAATAATATATGGGCTTTTATTTTTGTGGTGTAGCGTGTATGTGACAAATAAAAGAGTCTGACCAGACTGTGTCGGATTCAGTGAAAATACACAATGCAGCATTAAAGCTTCACTAAAATATGCCAGCTCTGAGGTGGCTCTGATGCTGCCTTTCTTCTGTGTAAACACTGCTTTCTTCTGCGTAAACACTGTTATTACGATAGAATATACAGTGCATAATATCATGCAATGCAAAATGTATTGACATTTACAGAAATAAATGTTATGAGAACATTTTTCATATGAATAATATGATATAATAATATGAAAATATTCATATAATAGAAACTAAAATTGAATGAAAATAATACTATATAAACAGATTCATATTTAGATATATACACATACATATTTCTGTATTTCTAGATCCTTATAAATGTTCACATTCACATTTACTGACTACATTTGAAGAGTTTATTTGCAAAAACCGATAACTTAGTTTAAAAATTTAACAATTTAAAAAATATATATATTTTTTTTTTCATTGTGCATTCCAGTTACTCTCAATCAAACTGCATTTGGGTTATTTTGATTAAGTAAAAAATAACAAAAAAAAATACAGCTAACTAACACAATAAAACACAATAAAAACATGATAACAATAAAAAAAGCGATTTTTGAAAAGAAAAAACAGTTATCTGTTTTAGCAAATAAACTCTTCATTTAGTTAATCATTTATTTACAACAAAGTTTAAAGCTGCTTAGATTGTACTTTAAAATAAAGCAGCATCATCTTTGTAAAGGCACTTTAAGTCAGCCTTAAATTGGACTGAAGATGGGTAAAGTTTTACCAACGAAGAAAGTTGGAGAGTGCTTCTCTATTGTATGAATTACCGTATGCAAAATCTGGCCATGGCAGCCCATGCTAATAGATCTGCCATCTGTCCCCGGTGGTCCATGGAAACACCTACCCCATCTATTTTAGGTAGACCATGTAGCAATGGGAAGATCTCCTCCTGGTGTTCGTTTGAACACCATTACACGGTAGCAATAAGAAAATCATGAAATATTCATACTTGGAGACAAAATATGCCCCATTTACAGCAGTAACATGCAAAGAAAATTCTCTGAAAGTTCATGTTTGGTTAATGGAGGGCTTGTTTACCTTTTTACATGAAACTATTCGGTACTTTTTGTGCTTTCAATTTATCCATCTCCACTAGTATCTATTTTGGCCTGTGAATATTTTCCCAACAGTATAACTTGCATTCACCATGCACTTGCAGTTTGAAATAATGCATGCTTCTTTTTCAGGAGTGCAGGGCATCAAAAGTTGGACAAGGTCATGTTAATGACTCAGCATAACATGACCCAGACTCTTCTGCAGGGGCATGTTGATGCCACGTGTCCATGTTTTCCTGATGATAGATGCAGACATGGTCATGAACCTGACAAGACCATAGAGATCATAAGCCAGGAGGAGGCTGACAGAGATAAAACTGAGGAGTTTCTTGAAGAAATTCTACCTAAACAGGCCACAGGGAAAGCAGACATCCCTGAGGGGCCCTCAGACAAAGACTTTCCTCCACTTCCACCTGCTGCCTCACCGCGGGTGGACAGGCCACCACAGCAAGCCCCCATCAGTAAAAGTGGCTCCTATAAAGCAACTGTCTTAAAAGGAAAACCAAACATCCAATTGCATGGTGGCAAATCACAGAGGGCAAAAAAACTAAATCAAAAAGAACATCCAAGAGTCTCAGCTAAAACATCCCCAAAGATAGAAGCACAAACAGCCCAGAGCTTCATTGACCAAACTAGTTCCCCCCAAACAGAAAGTGGATGCAGAGAGAAAGTTATACCGGAAGAACAAAGTTCATTGCCAAGGTGTTCCCATCTACCTGTGTTTGCAGACTTCCAAATGGCAGATGAGAAGATAATAACTAAAGATCACACATTTAAAGGTAAATGTGATATTGACATTCCATAACATCTGCACCATGCTCATGTCTATTAATAATAAACTTTAATTCAAATCTAAATCTAAAACCTAATATATATATTTTTTTCATTCATGCTCTCATGGTCATTTTAGTTTCCAGTTCAGCTCCTACATTTTTAATTTATTTGAATTGCAGTAACATGCAGGATGCAACAAATTTTAATTTAAGCAGAACTGAAAGATATGTATATACAGTAACTGCACAAAGTGTCATTTTAACTTAAAAAGTATACAGAAGCAAATTGGATAGATGTAAACTTGCTGTTCTGATTGGTGATCTGATCTACTTAATCATGTTAATTCAAAAACAGCATTTTAAAGAGCTAGCACGGACAGCTTAGGTTGTTTCTGATACATTTCTGGAGAACAAGAAGGAAAGCATCATTGTGTAATATTGCCAACAGTAAACAATAAGTTAATATTGAGTAACTTATGTCTAGACACAATATTGCCAGTTTTAAGCCAACAAAAAAATAGCTTGATTTCCCCCCCCCCTAACTTAGTTCTAAACCCAATTTTGCCATTTTTAAGCCAAAAAAAAAATAGCTTGATTTCCCCCCCCCCTGAGATTTTGTCAATAATGGCAAATAGACAATATTTTTCAGAGAGTATTTTTATGCTGTTGCCAACTGGTTTGTCCTGTAATGGACAAATTAAAAAATGAGACACTTTAAATATGAAACTAAAAATGCCAGTAGGTGGCGGCAAGTCTTAATGAGTCATTGAGTCATTCATTCAAACGATTCGTTCAAATGGCTGATTCATTCGGACATTGAATCATTAATTAAACTGATTCATTCAGTTATAAAGCACCACTGTATTGCTCAGACACGCAAAACAGTTAGCAGTATATGTATTCAGTGTATGCAGTGTTTTCATTTGGAAATTTTAATTGACAAAAAGCAAAAACTGTAAAATGTAGCTCAAAATGTTAACTTGTTTACTTAGCTGTTTTGTAAATTCAATATGACATTGCTGATATCAATCATGCTGATATTCAGGAAAAAAGAGCCATACTCCATAATGTCAGCTCGTATATTGTCGCCACCTACTGGTGTAAAAATATAACCTCTAGAAAGAGTCACTGAATATGCAAATTCACACTCATGAACACTCAAACCAAGATATTTGCATGCCCACAAAACACATGAAGCA